ATTTGAAGTTGTTGTGGGCCTGTGGCTTTGAAATACCAATTAGGGCTTCACATTTTGTGCTTTTAAGTTTTAACTGTTTAGTTTAATTAGTTTATTACTTTATTGTGAAATCATAAAGACATAAACAGATTTTTGTTGAAATTCGGCTTAGGTTTTTAAAAATGGCCTGCTGCCTGTGGGTTTTTGAAATTGGCAATATCTATTAGCAATTGGCTTGACTTTTTTGTTAGCAGTTGGCTACTGCCTGTGGGTTGTCTGCCTTGTGGCTGTTATCGGCCTTGTGAGTTGTGGCTGTTTTCACTTATTACTTATTTACTTTATTAGTATATCAGTGACTCAGTGTATTGAGTATTGACTATTGGAAATTTGGAATTCTTTGTTTCCTGTTGGTTGTTGCCTGTTGCCTGTTGGAAGTGTTATATGCTATTACAACCCATTCTGAATTTCACTTATTTTGTATTTGTGTGTTGGATATTTTTGTAAGGTAAATTATCATTTTTCATTTGTATAATTAGATATTATTTTTGCAATAAATGGAGGATTCAAACACTCTTTCTGAAAATTATATTCAAGAAAATGATGAAGTTCGCATTGAAGACAATGTGGTAGAGGGTTTAGATGCATCTGATGATGCACGTGATGATGGTTCAGTCGTAATTAAGAAGTGTAGAATGATGACTTTTAAGGTTTGGGGTCATTTTGAGATGTTACCTAATCCTACAGATGGTAAACAAAGGTGTAAATGTAAAAGATGTGGTGCTCAATACTTATGTGATAGTAAAAATGGCACTGGTAACTTAAGGAGATACTTGCAAAATTGTAAGAAAAGAGATTTACGTGATATAGGACAGCTCATATTGCAAACTGGTTCTAGTGCATCTATTTCTATGATTGATCAAAAGTTTGACAATGCTGAATTTCATGATTTATTTACTGCTTGCATAATATGCATGACTTGCCCGATAAAAACTCTCAATTTCTGTAGATATAACTTTTTTTAATTAACAATGTGTAATTCCTTTGAGGCTTAACTTATTTGTACCAATGCTCAATTCTTACTTTCCAAAACAGGATTTTGATTCTTTTGAGGAGGAGGTAGAAATGCCAAAAAAATCCGAATTGGAGATGTATCTTGATGAACAAAAAATAGATAGAAAAATTGAGCTATATATCTTACATTTTTGGAAAGCCAACCAATATAGATTTCCTGAGGTTTCTGCAATTGCACGTGATATTTTGTGTA